AGTTCTAGCACAAGTATGAAGCATTCACTATATAGATTAAGGACAAAGCAAGTAAGCATGTATTAGGGAACATCCAGACACCCATACACTTAAGAGGATCAGATTATCCAAGTTAGACTTAGGCAAACTCAGAACTAGTAGTATTAGGAGGAAGTTAGATGCTAAAAGACTTAGAACAAAGTAGAATTAACAAAATCATGTACAAAAGTAATCCAGAAAATATATCAAGCCAGAAATTTCAGAGGTGAGAACACATGCGAATCAAAAGCACATAGGGATGAAATTGCAAGAGTCAAGTAGCTTACCAGTTAAACGGACAACAATAAAGAACAAAAGATCCACAAGAACCCAGAAACCTCGAAGCGTCAAAGTTCCCAAGAGCTTAAATAGAACCCCGGGCAATACTCGCACCAAGAACGAGTTAAGTAACAAGATGCTAATGGCCTTGGCTTTTAGCTGGCTAGTACAGAATACCAAGAAAGAGAGTAGCAAAAACCCTAATTTTTTTTGTAGAAATCGATTTTCAAGTCTGTCCCAAAAGAGAAAATGAGGGGCTTTATATAGTAGTCAAAAATCGAGCAAACATATAAGGAAACATAATAATTTAAACAACAAGGAAAAGAATCATGCAAATCGATTTGAAATCAATTTAAAAGAGAAAATCTGTAAACCCTAATTTTTTAGAGAAAGTGTAAATCAGCAGAATCCAAACAAAATCGAACTCACACAGTGCATAATCAAATACGTGTAGACGAAAATACGGTCCAGATTCAAGAAATAAGACTCATTCAAACAAAATCGGAGAGTTAGTACTTGCCATGTTTAGGCAAGTACTAGGTGATACCATGGAGAATCAACGAGTAGCAGAAACCCACAATTATGGTAAGTAAATAATAGGAAAATCCCATTGTAGCGGGGATTAGGAGAAGATTTGGAGAAGGCGGCGATTAGGGTTTTTGGAGGGGAGGAGCATTTGATGGCGGCTAGACAGAGACTATGGTCTCTAGGGTTTAGGGATTGGGTTATAAGAGAAGAAGGGTTGAGGTTTTCGAGCCGTTGATCATTTTTGATCAACGGCTGTGGTTTAACGGGGTTTGGGTCGGTTTTGGATTGTGCAGGGTTGCCTGGGATTGGGATTGACGTTTTGGGCCAGGGATTTGGATTTGTCTGGTCCGAAAATAACTCGAAATTGGGCCAGCTTTTTTAAATAAAAATTAAAAGGAAAATAATTTAATAAAATATGTAAATAAATATATAAAAATGCTAATTATGTAAAATATATTTTAAACAATAATAGGAGACTATAAAAAATGTTAATATTATTTTGACCCTAAATGAAATGTCAATTGCAATAAGAATGCAAAATATAGGCTATTATTGCAAATTTATGCGAATAGCCTAAAATACAATTGTAAATATATAAAAAATGGAGGAAAAAATATTTTAAAAATATATGAGGAATGCAAATAATGATTTTAGGTGATTAAGTCATCACAAATAATTTAAAAGAGCGATTACTGAATTTTTATGTGAATTAATGCAAGGAAAATTAATTTAAAAACTCTAAAATTATGAATAGGCTCTGTAGACATTTTTAATTTCAAAGCTTTTACTATGTTGAGATATTGAGTAGTGGCTTGCCTAGTTCTATGATAGGCTCTGTAGATATGTAATTTTGACCCTCCTCAAGATTTTATATATTTTAGCCTTTAAATATTTAGTTTAGGTATAATATCGCTAGTTCAACTAGTTTTGACTCTTTACTTTATTTTGTCACAAAAATGAAAATAACAAAAAAGTATTTTTTTATTTAGCTAATTGACATTTCATCTAGTTACTTTTAGTTTATTTGCCTTTCATAAAAGTCGAAAATACAAAAATAGTTCCACTTTGTTTTCAGAAATATTAGTATTTTTGGTAGGAATACTATTTTAATTTTTGCGATGATTTTAATCTAATTCCATTTTTATTTTTAGGATTGATATTTGAAAAATAACAAAAATAGGTTTGTTTTAACGGTTAGTTTTATTTTAATAGTTATTTTATTTAAGTATGATTAATTAGTAAATATGGTAGTATTTTTAGTCTTGTTCAAGGAGAAAGAATACAATTTGGGTTCAAACAACCCATTTTTTAGGTCCAATTTTTGGACCCTTAGCCCATAATTCCTAAGCCCATGCTCTCCTAACCTAAAGGCCCCTTCATCTCCACATTTTAAAAGGACTGAGGAGACACCCCTAGCGGGAGCCGTTTTCCCCTTCCCCTTTCAGATTTTGATGGTCCTCTTTCTCTCAAAAAATCATAGAGACTGATGCACACACTCACGAAAGAGACGGACAAAAGAAAAGAGAAAGACAAAAAGAGTCCGTTTAGATTGACTTAAAAAAAGTAGTTTTTCAGCAGAAATAGCTTTTAAGCCAAAAAACAGTAAGTTGGGATTGCCCAACTTATTGCTTTTGACTTATTTTAAGTACTTTTTGACTTTGACAAACACTAAAAAAAACTAAAAAGAGAAAGCTGATTTGACCAGCTTAAAAGCCAATCTCAACACCCTCAAAATCTAATCTCCTAAAAACTTTAGAGCTCACCCACCTCTCTTCATTCTAAAGCAGACGCTACTAAAGTTCACACTCTTCATCCTTGTCATGTTTACGCTCAACAGATTCATCCATATGTGAATTTGGGTGGGAGCTTCTATCAATAAGCATTTTTTTTGTGCAAAACTTTCCCATGTTAATGATTTCTGGGAATGGTCTCTTTGTATAGGTTGCATAAAATGGTTAGCGGTCGAGCTAATCATTAGTCTTAAGTTTGGCATAGAGCTGGCAGCACCCACCAATTTTCCAATTGCTCACACCTTGGTTTTGTGTTTCACTGTTTTGCTGGTTCTCAAGCTCGATAACGTCGTCGATTACTCCTGGTGCTAAATTGAGTCTGTTTGTGCTTGGTTCACGGTTTCGTCGAGGTTGTTGCTTTGTTTAGTCCGATTGATTTGCAATTTTCAGCTTTGTTCATCAATGAAGGTCTAATTCTTACTTGATACTCCTCTAAATTTCAAGTTTGATTTTGATGGTATGATTCAGACTATGCTTCCGACGAGTGATATTTAGCTTAATTGATATTTGATTATTGGGACTCAATTTTTTTTTTGCGTTGATGAATACTCTGGAATCTTGTGTTTAATTTAATTTGACTTGAATGCCACCTAGTTAAAGAGCTAGACCTACTGGTTGATTGTTGGAAGAGAAGGGATGGAAACTTTAGGTGAAAATATAGTAATTTTAAGTTTTTTTTAATTAGATTATATTGTTTCCTGATTTTCCAAACACTAAATTAACATGTGAGCTCTAACTTCAACAATCTCGATGTCTATTTTGCCGTGGACTCTCCTTAATTTAATTAAGAGAATGTGGAGTGGATTTTTTACAAGTTAAAAGCTGCACATTCCTTTTGCAATCTTGTTATCACTTCTTATTATCATAACTTTTTCTTGTTTAACCTCTAAGTAAGTATTGATTTGCGGACACATTTACTTGCACAAATACATCATATGGCTGGGAACATGCATTAATTTACTAATGGATTTATAGCTTTCAAATTGTAGCTGCTGACTTGTGTGTGGAAAATCTTTATTAGCTATTAGGAAAATAAAAATGAATATCGTAGTTTGCTTTAGGCGTGATGAATAATCAATTATCATGACTATAAGTACGGTTCTCGTGGCATAGTCATGATATATAATCTCCAATTCGGGTGTGCATTTTATGTGACCCGACCATAATTTTAAATAATAATAAAATAAATATGTGGTAGATCGCGGGTGCATTTTATGTGACACGGTTTGCAATGTGTACAACACGACAAGTGTACGATAATTGTGCCTTGTTCCAGAAATAATTCCATAAAAAGCGGTTAGAAGGTTAAAAATATACATTAGGTTTTAAATATATAATTAATCAGATAATTAGGCCAATTATTAATAGTTGAGCGACCGTGCTAAAACCACGGAACTCGCCAGTGCCTAACACCTTCTCCTGGATTAACAAAATTCCTTACTCGATCTTCTGTATTCACAGACCATAAATAAGAGTCAATTTTCTCGATTTGGGATTTAAAATAAACCGGTGACTTGGGACACCATAAACTATTCCAAGTGGCGACTCTATAATAAATAAATAATCTCATTTCGATTTATGTCACTTTAATTGGAAAAACTCCCTTATAGCCCCTTTCGGGGTAGAAAAAGGATGTGTGACAGGCGCCCATGATGCTTGGTTTTGGGTCGTGACAAGTTGGTATCAGAGCCTAGGTTACATAGGTCTTACGAGTCATGAGCAGGTTTAGTAGAGTCTTGTGGATCGGTACAGAAATGTTTGTACTTATCTTCGAGAGGCTGCCGAACCCTTAGGAAACTTCACATTCTTGAATTCTTGTCGTGTGAATCTATTGATTCTAGTAGCTAAAATTTTGCTATTCTATTTTTTCACAGATGGTGAGAGCACGTACTACTGGGTAGGATGGACAACCACCAGTACCAGCCGCGAGATACCGAGGTCGCGGTAAAGGATGTGGTAGGGGTAGAGGTACAGCTCGCACACCAGCTAGGGCAGTACCTGCAGATCGACCAGTTGCTAGTTCAGGAGCAGGTCCCAGTTGTGGATGCGCCAGTGGGGCCAGCTCAGGCACCGCCCATACCTATTGTGATTCCAGGCCTTCAGGAGGCCTTAACTCAAATTCTGACTGCGTGCACCAGTCTTGCTCAGGCAGTCTCTATTTCGGCCGCAGCAACCACTTCTCAGGTAGGGGGAGGCACCAGAATCTCGCCGCCCTCACACTAGAGTAGGTGATGGAGGGACTCCAGACACCGGAGGCACCACCAGCCCAACCGGTTACAGCTGCTCAGGACTATGTGGTTCCTGTCATGCCTGATGATGAGTAGCATAGATTGGAGAGGTTTGAGAGACTCCAGCCTCCATCTTTCAGTGGTACAGAGGCGGAAGATGCACATGGATTTTTGGATAAGTGTCAGAGAATGCTCCGTACAACAGGTATTCTAGAGACTAGTGGTGTCTCGTTAACTATTTTTCAGTTCTTTGGAGCTGCCTTCAGTTGTGGAGGCTTATAAGAGACGTAGGCTTGTCGGTACAGCACCATTACCTAGTAGGAGTTCATCGTTCTCTTCTTGGAGAAGTTCATGTCGCAGTCTCGCAAAAAGGAGCTGTGTAGATAGTTTGAGCAGTTATGTCAGGATGATATTTCCGTGACGCAGTACAAGATGAGGTTTTCTAAGTTAGACTATCATGCAGTTTGGTTAGTTCCCACTGATAGGGAAAGGATCAGGAGGTTCATTGATAGACTCACATTTCAGTTGCGGGTGCTTATGACTAGAGAGAGGGTATCCAGTGCTACTTTCAATGAGGTTGTTGACATTGCTCGACAGATAGAGTTGGTCCGCAGCCAGGAGCGGGTTGAGAGGGAGGCCAAGAGGTCTCGTGGATCAGGTGGTTTTAGTGGTGTTCCTTTTGGAGGTCAGTTATACCATGATAGGGGTCGTCCTTACAGGCATGCTCCGACGGCTCGCGCAGTTCGCCGTGGTGCATCATCTAGCCATGGTTCTCACAGTTCTCATCAGGGTCACTCATCTCTCAGTGCCCTTCTAGCTTAGAGTTCGTTTCATGCACCATCAGCTCAGGGTTCATCCATGTCGGGGCGTTCTAGCAGTTATCTCGAGGCTCCCTTCAGTCCCCATCGCCATTTGCAAGGAGAGGTTGCTTTGAGTGTGGAGATATGGGTCATATCAAGAGGCATTGTCCCCGCCTCTTATGAGGTTCAGCTCAGCAGAGGAGTCAGCCTACGACTTCAACACCAGTTACTTCACCACCCACCCAGCCAGTTCGGGGTGTAGCTCAGTCAGCTAGGGGCTGCCCTAAAGGAGGAGGCCAATTAGGTGGCGGCCAGGCCCGATTCTATGCACTCCCTACCAGACCAGATGCTATTGCTTCAAACACCGTGATCACAGGTATTGTCTCAGTATGTCATTAAGATGCTTCTGTATTATTTGATCCTAGTTCCACCTATTCATATGTATCATCGTATTTTACTCATTATCTGGATATGCCCCGTAAGTCTTTAGTTTCTTCAATTCATGTATCTACGCCGATGGGCGATACTATTATTATGGACCGGTCGTGTGTAGTGGCTATCAAGGGATTGGAGACTAGAGTTGATCTCTTGCTTCTTAGTATGGTTGATTTTGACGTGATCTTAGGTATGGATTGGTTGTCTCCATGTCTTGCAATTTTGGATTGTCATGCTAAGACTGTAACGTTGGCAATGCCGGGGTTGCCACAGATTGAGTGACGAGGTTCTTTAGACTATGTTTCTAGTAGAGTGATTTCATACTTGAAGGCCTAGCGGATGGTTGGGAAGGGTTGTCTCTCTTATTTGGCCTTTGTAAGGGATGCCAGTGCAGAAACCCCTACTATTGATTCTGTTCTGGTGGTGTAAGAGTTTCTGGATGTGTTTTCTGCAGACCTGCCAGGCATGCCACCCGACAGGGACATTGATTTTGGTATTGACTTGGTGCCGGGCACTCAGCCCATTTTTATTCCTCCGTACCGTACGACACCGGTTGAATTGAAGGAGTTGAAAGAGCAACTTCAAGAACTCCTTGAGAAGGGATTTATTAGGCCTAGTGTGTCAACTTAGGGTGTATCAGTTCTGTTCGTGAAGAAGAAGGATGACACTATGAGAATGTGCATTGACTATAGAAAGTTGAACAAAGTCACAATTAAGAACAAGTATCCTTTGCCGTGTATTAATGATATATTTGACCAGCTTCAGGGAGCGAGGGTGTTCTCCAAGATTGATTGGAGGTCTGGGTATCACTAGTTGAAGATTCGGGACTCGGATATTCTTAAGATAGATTTTAGGACCCATTCGTGATGTCTTTTGGGTTGACCAACACCCCAACAACGTTCATGCATCTGATGAACAATATATTTTGGCCTTATCTCGACTCGTTTGTTATTGTGTTCATTGATGATATCCTAGTGTACTCTCGTAGCCAGGAAGAGCACGCCCAATATTTGAGGGTCGTGTTGCAGCGGTTGAGGGAGAAGCTTTATGCCAAGTTCTCCAAGTGTGAGTTTTGGCTCAGTTCAGTGGTTTTCTTGGGGCACGTAGTGTCTAGTGAGGGTATTCAGGTGGATCAAAAGAAGATAGAGGCGGTTTAGAGTTGGCCCAGACCGTCCTCAACTACAAAGATTCAGAGCTTTCTTGGTTTGGCTAGTTATTACTGTCGCTTCGTGCAAGGTTTCTCGTTTATTGCATCTCCTTTAACCAAATTGACCCAAAATGGTGCTCTTTTCAGGTGGTCGAATGAGTGTGAGGAGAGCTTTCAGAAGCTCAAGACTGCCTTGACCACCACTCCAATTCTAGTTCTACCATCAGCTTCTGATTCTTATACAGTATACTGTGATGCTTCTCAGATCGGTATTGGGTATGTTTTGATACTGGAGGTAGAGTAATTGTTTATGCTTCTCGTCAGTTGAAGCCTCATAAGAAGAACTACCATGTTCATGATTTGGAGTTGGCTGTCATTGTTCATGCGTTAAAAATTTGGAGGTACTACCTCTATGGTGTGTCTTGTGAAATATTTACTGATCATTATAGCCTCCAGTAATTGTTCAAATAAAAGGATGTAAATTTGAGGCAGCGGAGATAGTTGGAGCTGCTAAAGGACTATGATATTACTATTTTGTGTCATTTGGGAAAGGCCAATGTGGTGGTCAATGCCTTGAGTAGGAAGGCAGTGAGTATGGGTAGTCTTGCATTCATTCCTGTTGGTGAGAGACCTCTTGCAGTTGATGTTTAAGCCCTGGCGAACCAGTTCGTGAGATTAGATGTTTCAGAGTCCAGTCGGGTTCTAGCTTGTGTGGTTTCTCGGTCTTCCTTATTTGATCGCATCATAGAGCACCAGTATAATGATCCTCATTTGCTTGTCCTCAAGGACAGGGTTCAGCACGGTGATGCCAGAGATGTTTCTATAGGAGATGGTGAGGTGTTGAGGATGCAAGGCCAGATATGTGTGCCCAATGTAGATGGGCTACGAAAGTTTATTCTTGAGGAGGCCCACAGTTCGCGGTATTTCATCTATCCGGTTGCCGCGAAGATGTACCAGGATTTGAGACGGCACTATTGGTAGAGGAAAATAAAGAAGGATATAGTTGGGTTTGTAGCTCGATGTCTCAATTGTCAGCAGGTAAATTATGAGCATCAAAGACCGGGTGGATTACTTCAGAGGATAGAGATTTCGGAGTAGAAGTGGGAGCGGATCACCATGGATTTCATAGTTAGGCTCCCACGGACTTCGAGGAAGTTCGATGCTATTTGGGTGATTGTGGATCGGCTAACCAAGTCCCCACACTTTATTCCAGTGGGTACTACTTATTCTTCAGATCGGTTGGCCGAGATTTACATCAAGGAGATTGTTCACCTTCATGGTGTGCCAGTTTCCATCATTTTAGATAGAGGCACGCAGTTTACATTGCATTTTTAGAGAGCCGTGCAGCGAGAGTTAGGCCTTTAGGTTGAGTTGAGTACAACATTTCACCTTCAGACAGATGACAGTTCGAGCGCACTATTCAGATATTGGAGAACATGCTACACGCTTGTGTCATTGATTTCGGGGGTTCATGGGACCAATTTCTGCCGCTCGCGGAGTTTTCTTACAACAACAGTTATCAGTCGAGCATTCGGATGGCCCCGTATGAGGCTTTGTATGGGAGGCGGTGTAGATCTCCAGTGGGTTAGTTTGAGCCGGGCGAGGCTAAGTTAATGGGTACTGACTTGGTTCAGGATGCTTTGGACAGGGTTAAATTGATTCAAGAGCGACTTCACACTGTGCAGTCTAGACAGAAGAGTTATGTTGACAGGAAGGTCCGTGATGTGTCTTACATGGTTGGGGAGAAGATTTTGCTAAAGGTTTCACCCATGAAGGGTGTTATGAGATTTGGGAAGAAGGGCAAATTGAGCCCTCGGTTCATTGGGCTTTTGAGGTAATTCAGAGGATTGGGGAGGTGGCTTACAAGCTTGCCTTGCCACATAGCTTGTCGAGTGTGCATCTAGTTTTTCATGTTTCTATGCTCCAGAAGTATATCGACTATCCGTCTCATGTTTTGGATTTCAACACGGTTCAGTTGGATGGTGATTTGACTTATGATGTGGAGCCGGTGGCCATTTTGGATCGGCAGGTTCGAAAGTTGAGATCAAAGGATATAGCTTTAGTAAAGGTGCAGTGGAGAGGTTATTCTGTGGAGGAGGCTACTTGGGAGACCGAGTGGGAGATGCAGAGCAGATATCTACACATATTTGAGACTCCAGGTATATTTCTTAACCCGTTTGAGGACAAATGTTTATTTAAGAGGGGGAGGACGTAACGACCCGGCCGGTCATTTCGAGAGTTATAGCCTTGTTCCCCTATTTTCTGCTCCTTTTGTGTTCTACAACTGTTATATGACTTACCGAGTTGGTTGGTTTGGATCTGGAGAGATTTCATAGTGAATTGAGACACTTAGTCTCTTAATTGAAAGCTTAAGTTGGAAAAGTTGATCGGATGTCAACTTATGTGTAAACGACCTCTAATTTAAATTTTGATGGTTATGTTAGCTCCATTAGGTGATTTTGGACTTAGGAGCGCATCTGAATTAGAATTTGGAGGTCCGTAGTAGAGTTAGGCTTGAAATGACAAAAAATGGAATTTTGGAGAGTTTGACTGGGAGTGAACTTTTTGATATCGGGGTCGGATTGGATTTCTGGAAGTTGGAGTAAGTTCGTCGTGTCATTTATGACTTGTGTGCAAAATTTGAGGTCAATTAGGCGTGATTTGATAGGTATCAGCGTCATTTGTAGAATTTGGAAATTTCAAATTTCATTAGGCTTGAATCCGTGTGTAATTCGTGTTTTTGATGTTGTTTGAGGTGATTTGAGGGTTCGACTAAGTTCGTATGATGTTTTGAGACTTGATGGAATATTTGGTTGAGGTCCCGGGGGCCTCGGATGAATTTCGGGTGGTTAACGGATCATTTTTGGACTTAGGTTGCTGGGTGATAACTGCTGGTGTGTTTCTTCTGGTTTCCTCTTACGCGTTCGTGGGGCAGGGTTCACGTTCGCGAAGAGTGGAGTTGGCTAAGCTTCGCGTTCGGGAAGCTGTGGTCGCATTCACAAAGTGTTAAATTGAGAGCCAGGCAAATTGGTCTATGTGAACGCGAGCAAAAGGACGCATTCGCGATGAAAGTGCATTAGGGCAGATTTAAACGATTCAAAACGAGGGTTTCGAGTTCATATCATAAAATTGAAGTGGGAGCTCGGTAGAAGGAGATTTTTGGAGAGATTCTTGCGTGGGTGTTTGGGGTAAGTGATTCCTATCTAATTTTGGTCAAATTCATGCTTTAATTCCATCATCTAATTGTGATTTAGGGAGGAAACTTTGGAAAAATGAAGAAGAGTTCTTGGAGTAGATTTTTGAGGTTTTGAATGGGATTTTGTTATCGGATTTGAGTAAATTTGGTATGGTTAGACTCGTGAGTGAATGTACTTTCGAATTTTGTGACTTTTGTCGGATTTCGAGATTTTGGCTATAATTTAGTGTTTTTCTTGTGCAATTGATCCCTTTAGCCTATATTAATTGTATTGTACTTCTTGTGGCTATATTCAGGACGTTTGGAGACTGATTTGAGAGGCAAATGCATTGTAGAGTAGAGTTTTGCCCGGATTGAGGTAAGTAACACTTTCAAACTTGATTCTGAGCGTTTGAAACCCCAAATTATATTTTATGTGATTGGTATTGAGGTGACACAAATGCTAAGTGACGGGCATGCGGGAGTGCATCATGAAAATTATGAATTGGTTGATTCCATGGCACTGTATAGTGGATCTATCTTGTTGATATTTGTGTTTTTATCTTGTGAGAAAGTAATAGAGTTGTCAATCATGCTAGATATCATGTTTGGGCTTTATGCTAGTACTGTTGGGACCCATAGTGGTCGTTTCTTGCGGTCATGTTACTGAATTCATTGATGTTTCATATTCAGTCATATTCATTCATTTCATATCATATCTTAGTTTCAGTTGTTATTTATTGATACATCATATCATTATTTTCGGGATAGTTTCATGATATTGTGAGCCCGTAAATGAGGCTGGAGAGATTGATGACTGAGTATGGCCGGGGGCCTGGTTATGAGTGACAGTTATGGGATCGGGTTGTACGCTGCATCGATTATACTGATTTATGATAGCGCTTGGGGTGAAGGAGCCCCTCCGGAGTCTGTACACCCCCTCCAGTGAGCGCGATTGATATTGAAGGATGGATCTTCCCTGGAAATGGATCTTATCCAAAGCATTATATACCTAGAGATAGATCTTCTCCACGGGATGGATTGGCCTTACTCGGTACTGGGTGACTAATGGTCAATGATGTGTATATATTCCGAGATGGATCTTCCCTGGGCAGCATGGGCCATATATAGTACGGAGTATTGAGCATTTGAGAGTGTGAGCACATGAGGCTATTAGTATGGTGCTAGCACGTACATCATGTGCATTGGCATGTAGAAGTAGAAAAGTTATATTCTTCACATTGTTCAGACTTGATCTATTTTACTGTTTGAGCTATCTGATTAACATGAAAGCATGCCTACATTTCTGCATTGCTATTTCTATTTTGAACTGTGCCGGTTGAGTTCTCACTACCTTTCAGTCCAAAGGTTGGACTTGTTACTTACTGAGTTGGTTGTACTCACGTTACACCCTGCACCTCGTGTGCAGATCCAGGTGCTTCGGGTCACGGAGGTTGTTGATCGAGGAATTAGGATTTGGAGACTATCGAGGTAGCTACATGGCGTTTGCAGGCCTTGACTCTCCTTCATTATCTCTATCTGTACTTCAGTTTTTATTCCTTAGACATTGTTGTATACTATATTCCGGTATAGATGCTTATATACTCTGTGACACCCCGGTTTTGGGATAGATTGTATCGTATTCCAGATTATTTCTGTTTCAAAAAGGCTTCTCTTAAATATTAATTGCTTCCGTCTTTAATTTCAAAGCTTTTACTGTGTTGAGATGTTGAGTAGTGGCTTGCCTAGTTCTACGATAGGCACCATCACGACGGTTGGTTTTGGGTCATGACAAATATTATTATTTTTAATAAACAAATAAGCATGTATAAAAGGCAGAACTGCTCTTTCAAAACCTTTTGCAAATCCTTCTCAACGTTTTTGGAGGGTATTTTTGTAAATAATAATTTATAAAAAATATTATACAATGCATGTTATTTTTAATACACTAAACCAAACAATCGATATGAAATAATTCTAGCATAACTAATTCCAACATTACTAATACACCATATTCGGTACTATTTTTATACACCCTACCAAACGACCCTTTATATGTGTGCTAATAGTATTTATGATTCAATTTATACTTAGTTGAACCATTACTAAATGTAACAACCCGACCGGTCGTTTTGAGAGTTAGAGCCCCGATCCCCTATTAATTATTTCCCTGTATTTATTTCTGCTATTATGACTTGCCGGGAAGATTCGTTTTGAGTTTTGGAGTATTTTGAGACACTTAGTCCCTAAATGGAGGTTTAAGCTTTAAGATTTGGACCATAGTCGGAACTGTATGAAAATGGTTCCGGAATGAAATTGCGCCGATTTCGTTAGCTCCGTTGGATGATTATTTCGGGTTTAGGGACGTGTCCGAATTGTGTTTTTGAGGTCCGTAGCTCATTTAGGCTTGAAATGGCGAAAGTTGATTTTTTGGAGTTTCGAGCCGATAGTGGAATTTTTGATATCGGGGACGGAATTCGATTCCAGAAGTTGAAGTAGGTCCGTAGTGTTAAACATGACTTATGTGCAAAATTTGGGGTCATTCGGACGTGGTTTGGTTGGTTTCAGCATCGGTTGTAGAATTTTGAAGTTTCAAGTTTTTAACATTTGGATTGGAGGGTGATTCATGATGTTAGCATTGTTTGATGCGATTTGAGGCCTTGACTAATTTCCTATGATGTTTTAGGATGGGTTGGTATGTTTGGTTGAAGTCCCGGGGGCCTCGGGTGTGTTTCGGATGCTCAACGGGTCATTTTGGGACATAAAAGGATGGCAGATTTTGCTAGTTTTTCTGTTGCATACGTTTGTTCTTCGCGTTCGCGAAGAAGAGCTGGGCCAGGAAGAGAAATTATTCTTCACGTTCACGAAAGGAAGATCGCGTTCGTGAAGGTTGGTCAGTGGAAACATCACGAATGCGAGGAGCTGAACGCGTTCGCGAAGAGGAAAGGTGGAACAGCTGGGACCTCAGGAATTTACTCTTCACCTTTGCGAATAAGGGGTCGCTTTCGTGAAGGTCCTGGCAGCTGAAGCTACGCGTTTGCGAGAGGTAACTCGCGTTCGTAAAAGAGGAAAAATGAGCAGTGGACTTTTGTTCTACTCGAACGCGAGGTGGTGGTCGCGTTCGCGAAGAAGGACGTTCCTGGGCAGATTTAAAGTTTAAAAAACGAGGGTTTGAGTCCATAACAAAAAAATTTGATTGAGAGTTCGGTAGACGGCAAAAATTGGAGAGATTTTCAAAGGAAGTTATTGGGTAATGATTCCTAACTCCTTTATGATTATATCCCACTAATCTATGCTTAATTTCATCATTTAATTTCAGATTTGGGGTGGAAATTGGGAAAAATTGAGAAAAGTTCTTAGGCCGAATTTTGGGGTTTTGATCGAGATTTTGGTATCGGATTTAAGAAAATTTGGTATGGTTCGACTCATGAGTGAATGAGTGTTCATAATTATTGACTTTTACCCGATTTCGAGATGTGGGCCCGGGGAGTCTTTTTAGGCATTTTTCTATTTTCTTGCCTTAGCTAGATTAGTTGCTTTTAGCTATATTTACGTTATGTAATTGATTTGGCTAGATTTGGACCATCCGGAGTCGGATACTCGCGAAAAGAGCATTGTTTTGGATTGATTTGAGCTTGGTTCGAGGTAAGTGGCTTACCTAACCTTGTGTGGGGGAACTCCCCTTAGGATTTTGGTACTGTTTGATATATGAGCGCCGTGTACATGAGGTGACGAGTACGTACACGGGCTATTTGTTATAAAACTCCATTTTCACTAAGTCTTAACTTGTTTTTCCTTGTTTGAACTACACTAGTATATGTAATTACCTTGTTTAGATTAGAAAAAAATGCCAACGTGTTTAAACTGTCTATTTGAACTCTGTGCAACATATTTAGTGAAATTACATGTTTCCTTTGATGTGAACTTAGTCTAAACTGCAGATTTCCTTGCTATAACTATTGCTTGTATTGGTTGAGCTTCATATTTACTTTGGGATTACGGAACGGTATTCCAGGAGACCCCCTATACTGCATATTTACTTTGGGACTACGGAACAGTATTCCGAGAGGTCCCCCAGCACTGCATATTTACTTTGGGATTACGAGACGGTATTCTGGGAGATCCCTCTGTACATTTAAATTTGGAACTACGAGACGGTATCCTGGGAGATCTCCCTATTGCTATTAGTGTGGTTTGAGCTATTGGTTTTCATTGAGTTTTATTCCTGTTAGATTTTCGTATTTATTTTACTGTAATATTTCTTTCTGCCTTATTTCATTATATTTATACCAGTAGGGTCTGACCTGATCTCGTCACTACTCGACCAAGGTTAGGCTTGGTACTTGCTGAGTACCGTTGTGGTGTACTTATGCCCTTTCCTACACATGTTTTTGTGTGCAGGTTCAGGTTCATCGTACCAGCTTCACCACTAGTTGCAGTTGTTGCTGCTTGTTGAAGACTTCAAGGTACATCTGCATGCGCCCGCAGACCCTCAGAGTCCCCATCTATCCCCTACGTTCATTTCTCTTTCTTTCTGTAGAGATGATGTATAGAACAGTTAGAACATTTTAGTAGCTTGTGACTTGCGAGTTTTCGGATTTTGGGTATTGTTCGGTACATTTCTGAAGTGATAACTGTATATGCCAAGTGACATTTAGTTGCTTATTAGATAATTGTACTGTCAGTAGTTAATTTTCATGTTTTGTTTTATTTCCGCAATGTGTTAGGCTTACCTAGTTATAGAGACTAGGTGTCATCACGACAGTTCATAGAGAGAGAACTTGGATCGTGACACTAAATATGATCTAAATTAACAAGGCCTTAAGCCAAAATTTGTTGTAGTGAGGAACATAACTCTCAAACCCTTTGGTTGGAGGGATTAAGTGTGTTATATTCTGGTAATAATGGAATTAAATCTATCATGTGTTTAGTTGAAGGTATTCGCTAAAATCAGAATAACCTTTATATATAGGTTTATCCATCTCATATAAAATGTGGGATAGAGAATCGCAATTATAATTTTATTAGTAATCTAAAAATTATAATAATCCTTGTTATAATTCCAGGATAACCCGATTTTGAACCAAAGTAACCTGTGTGTTTATTCCCCAGGATGGGGAGGTTTGGTGAGGAATATATATATATATATTTCTTTTTTTTTCAGAAAAATTTCCTGTGTTAGTATCTATTGTACTTTGATCAGCCTTTATCTTCTTTCTTTATTATTGTAATTTTTTTTAATTCACTCTGTTCATCTCTTCTTCCCAATCTTTTAAAGATTTTAACTCTTTTCTTAACTCTTATTTTTTTAACCTCACTCCGGCCACGGTTAAACACTTATACCCTTTTTAATTATTTTCGAGTTTTATTTAACCAGTTTCTCCTAGGAATTTACAGGTTAATTCATCAGAATTGTTAAGAAATTGGGAAGCTAACCATATACTAAGAGTGATATCTGGTTGTTATCAAACTAATAATCGAACATATGAACATAAAACTATACAGAATAACATAAAACTGTAAAATAAACGGAGGTAATATCCTTTTCAATATCCTTTTCATCACCAACCATCCTCCAAAACAAACACTTTGTAAAATATTTCCTTATGAGTATTTTAGTAGCAGACTACCATTTTTAAGACGTTAATTTTTAGCCACCCCCCTTTTTAATTTATCCAACCCCCTCTTATATTATATTGGTATCAGAGCAAGAAAATTTTCGGACCAAAAAGTTTATGAAACAACTTATTTTTGCTAAATACATAACTTACCATCGCCACCTAATATATATTAGTCTTGAGAGTATTAGAAATAACATAGAATATAGAGAAACATTAGAGTCACAAAAGAGTTTCTTTGAAAAATCAGAACTAGATATTTTAAATACTGAAGATTTTCAAAATTTTCTTCTTCTTGAAATAAAAAGACCTAATATTGAAATACAACAAGAAAAGGATTATATCCGAACCATCAGAAAGAAGATAAAACATATCCCATCGGGGTAACATATATATTAAGACAACATCCTTTAGCTAAAGAAATAGCTTGTAACTATTGGATTTTAAGTAGAAATATAGTGAGAAAAGAAGAATTAAAGAAAATACTACGAAAGACTAAGACTCTATTAATATCAACTTTAGAATTAGCTAAACAAATAAAAGAATCAGATCTAAAAATAAATAGAGAACCGAGTTATATAGTAAAATATAGTATTAGTTCAGAAACCATATCAGCTTTAGAGTGAGATATACAATATATAAAAGGAGAAATATATTTAGAAAATCAAAGAATAAAATTCTTTAAAAAACGAAAAAATTGGATACCATTAGGTTGAACAAAATAGATAAATTAAAGAACCTAGAATTTTTAGATTTAAAAATATACCCAAAAAAGAAGTATAGAATATTAAAAGATAATACAGTACTAAAGTGCAATTTTAGTAGTGGAGAACATATATCACATACCGAAGATAAACAATACAATACTTTAGTAGATTTAATAATCAACTTTGGAGAAAAAACCCAAGAATATAATAAAAACATAATAAGAACACTAGAACTAGTGGAAACATTACAAACTAAACAAAGAAAGACTCTAGAAAAATTAGAACAAAATTTAGATTTCCTAAAATCACAAGAATATGAGTTTGTAATTTAATTTTTTC